TTTAACTCAAATTGCACAAATTATAAACAAAAACTTTTACTCATTCTACACACTAACATACAATAATTATATATATTATTTTGAAATAAATCTTAACAATTCAATACAGTACAATAGATAAAAAGTGTTGAACATAAACAAGACTATATTGGTATTTAATATATTTTCAGCAGATGTTGTCTTTTCAATATTGTATATGTCAAGTATAAATGATGATAGACAAATCTCAATTTGAAAGTATATGTCAAGTATATATGATGATATACATTACGAAAATGTCAAGTATATATATCACGTTATAATGTTTGTACATTATACACACTTTACAATTTTATCTCCTAATGAATGTCCTACAATAATATCAAACGTCAATTAACTCTAGCTCAATTGTGTCATACAACTGTCTTCGTATATATTCAGTATATTTTCAGTATATGTTGTCTTTTCAACTATTTCTTCATCTGTTATACATGCAAAATCCATAAAATTCATCCCTATGATAATTTTTTTTATACAATTATCTATGTCCCTATTAATATGTAGATACATTAGTTTCAGGTGACATATGTACATAATCTGGTATTTAATTCACTTTTTTTGAATTCAAATTTAAAAAATGCTATTTTTTAGGAACAAATCTTTAACATGATTTCTATCTAACTTCATTAATCTAATTATATTGTCTTTTATATATGAGAAGATTCCCATAACTGAAAATGGAGAGTATTTTCTCTCTCCTTTTTTTTACAATCTGGTATTCATATAATTTTTGATTGCTCATTAGGCATGATTGCAAATAAGTTTTGGACTGGCAATTTTACAATTAATTAGCAATCATTGAATATATATGTAAATGAGCCAAACAAGTTTGCCAATTGCCGCCCTTAATTTGGATCCAACTCCTATTTAGTTAATTTTACTTGTTGGGCCCAAGCCCATTTGACAGACTCAAATTTCTTGGTTGTTGGCCTATCTTCCAGGCTTGTACAAAAAAAACAAATTAACTAAGTTGATGGATTATTTCTTCGTGATGACTTCATCATCCT